GAGACGAGTTCAACCCACTGCTATTCAAAGCGACCATGTTGGAACGATGTCATTTCTTGCTGGTGACATATAATGACCGTATCTACTTTATTCACCAAACCGTTAAGGACTATCTTCTATCAGAACAAGAAAGCCAAGTGAAACCGAAGAAGGACAAAAGACCCGCCTGGCTACAATCGATCACCACCGTGTCCTGCCATGAAACCATACTCAACAGTTGCATGCGCTATATTTCTGCCCCATTCAATCAACGACCGGAGATAATCTCTGTTGAAGACTTCTTCTATCTTCCTCTATATGAGCAGCTTGAGCATCAACAATGGTATTGGGACACGTTTCCGTTTGGGGAATATGCGTTTTGCCAGTGGCTTGTTCATCTGCATGAAATAAGAAATAAAGAGGGAAAAAGTCCAGAAGCTCTTATTGAAATGCTCCCAAGGCTCCAAGAGAAATATTATAACTTATCCTTCGATGTCGTATTGTCAATGCTCTGTTGCTCTGGCTTTACGTCTGAAGCGGAGGCGAGGCTTTTCCAGAACATGGTACAGCTAGGGAGTAGAAACATGACAGAGGCTCTCAACAACATGTCCCAAGGCCTAATCTTAAGGTCTGCTAAATTCAACTCACATGCAGATCTTACTTGCGCGATAGAAATCACCGCCAGCGTTGTCGAGCAAACGCCAGAAGCAGATGCCAGGCTAGGTAGGATGCTTATTAACCTAAGCCGAGCACACGCTCTCGAGCAAGATAATTATGATTTTAAAAGCTCAGACTTGAGCACTGGCTTAGAGGTTGCCGAGAGAGCGCTGCAAGTAACACCAATTGGCAGCATTGATCGAGCTAGAGCATTGCATGAGCACGCTATTTGGGCACACTGGGACGGGGACCTCGATCAGGCAATTGAAGATACTGAGAACGCCTTGACTCATACCCCTGACCTGAGCAAAGCAGACAAACAGCTATTTTATCACTCCTTGGCCATTTGGTTGGGATACCGATTTCAAAGGGCGGAGCAGCCCCAAGACGATGACTTACGCAGGGCTGTGAAATGTGCGCAGAGAGCTATACATGGCATGTCAAAGGAGAATCCAAGATACCCTAATGCGCTTCACACATTGACTGTTTGGTTGAAGACGACTGCTTCAAAGTATCCTGACAAGCCAGAATATTTACGTCAGGCAATTGAGGTGGCTGAAGAGGCAAATGGACTTAGGCTACCCACTGAAGCCTCTAGTCATAATTATCTCCGTGAACTATCTGAATGTTTGCTCATGCGCTATGAGCGTGAGCGTAACATGAAGGATCTCGAAGACGCTCGTGAGCTTATAGAGGAGGGTTTGCAAACAACTATAGAAACATTTTCCTTGTATAGCAGATTCCTCTATCTCATGAAAGTAGTGGAGGGGTTTAAAGAGGAAGTACAAAAGGGGGAAATAATAGATAGCAATCCCTCGGATCTCAGTTTTTGAATAGTGTATCGCATTTAAATTTCGAGTCACTGCCACCAAGGTGTATGGAGTATTAATTTTGCTCTTCTTCTTCCGTTCATGATTCTCATAAACTCTATGATCTCTATATAAACTCTTTGCTTTAGTCGCAGCCGCTCTATCTATAATGCGACTGCTTATGTGCATTAGCAGCCTAATGGTCCATCCACTTCTGACTCCCTTTAATCTATTGGCCTAGAACTCGCATGAGGCTACTATACGCGCAATCTTATTTTCGATTTTTTTTTTTTTCTTTTGTTCATGATTAGACATTTTCACTAACACTGTCCATTGAATCATTGATACTAGGTAGCAATTTATTCAAGATATAAATAATCAAAATAGAACAATGAGACTTTGGTCCACTTTCCAGTTTCTAGAAGGCAGGGAGCTGCTGTAGCTCCAAATGAAGTCCAATACCTTCCCTGGTGCAATAAACAAGTAACGCCTATGGAGAAGAGGAGAAACGTGAAGAATGGTATTTGGGCTCAGATATGAAACCCCCAATATGCTGTCACTCCTCAATCCTCCTTTACGCCTATGCGAAGGCATCTCTCCCTTGACTACGGTTTCCCCACCTCCAGAACAGTAAACCCATACTGCTTCATCTTGTATACAGCAAATAACCCAGGAGGTCCCAAGAACAACCTTGGTTCTCGCATCCGAACCACAATGTCCTTCCAATCCACACTGCGTCCTACAAACTCATCCCAGTCGGTATGCAACACAACCACGCTGCATCCTTCACACGATGCCTCAGTGCTCTCTACCACAGCAGTATTGACATGAGCCGCACCACACTGTAACATCAAAGCCTTTTCAATGCGTTGCCTCGGGACGTGTGGATCAAACACATTGACGCGTAATCCATGGCCGACCAAATCTCGAACCAGCTTAATCGCAGTGGTATTTCGAATATCCGTCGTGTTTTTCTTGAAAGAGAAACCAAGAATAGCTGCCTTTATCTCTGTGCCTGCTACATCAGAGGGCAAAAATGACATTATCCGTTTCGTGATGCGTGTGGATTGGCAATCATTGATTTGAATCACTCCCCGCCAGTACTCAGCCACGTCGTCAAGTCCAAGCTCACGGGCTAGATAGATCAAGCAGCAGACATCCTTGCGCAGGCAAGAACCTCCGAATCCAAAACCGGCTCGCAGACATTGTGGTCCGATCCGTGGGTCGAGACCAGCAATCCGAGAGAGCTCGGTGACGCTTGCGCCAGTCGCTTCGCAGACAGCACTTAGGGAGTTTATGCTGCTGATGCGCTGGGCAATAAGTGCGTTGGAGGCAATCTTGGCTAGCTCTGATGACCATGTGTCGGTCGTGACTACTTGTTCCTGGGGTACCCATGGTGTGTATAAGCGTATTAGGGCTTTCACTGATTCAGGAACGGCGCCGTCTGCTGCTGGTTCATAGCCAATGACTACCCTATTGGGGTTCAACAGATCTTGCATTGCGTTGCCTTGAGCTAGAAACTCAGGACTAGATATTATGTCGAATGAGGCCGTCGGTAGAGCGGCATCTTTCAGCTATTAGGGGAACTAGTCAGCGAGATGCATAATCTCTACATAACCACTGCTTAGGATAGCATCACGCACCGTCTTTTTGATCCATTGACAGATGCCACTAGGTGCAGTACTTTTCTGGACTATAACTTTGTGTCCTGTTGAAAGCTGCGCGATTGACTTGATGGCTGACTCTAGATTCTTCAGGTTGAGGCCTCTGATCTCATCGCTATCAGGAAACTGGGCAATCAGAACCTCTTACATCGTTTCACAAAGACACAACATGAGACTTACCGAAACTTCTGACGGAGTGTCAACACAAATAAAAATGATGTTGGCGTCTGATATGTGTGTATTAATATCAGCAGAGAAGGTTACGTTGGCAAGCCTTCTCCGCCTCCCTTCATAACCGTGTGACAAAACACAAAGTGCTTTCTCTTGGACTTGGCCATCCTCAAACAAGATATCCTCGAGGCCTGGCTCAAATATGGGGATGTGATCTGAGTTCCAAGCTGTAATCAACGAGGCATCTTTGTCGACCACACTGAACTGCACAGATGGGTTCTTAGAAGCCAGAGCTATTGCTGTCAATGCACCTGGAGCATGAGAAACATAAGTAAGGAAATTTTAAGACCTCTATGAGGGTAGATGTTGGTCTCGACTTACCCACGTACCCCGCGCCAATCATACATACCTTCTGAATGTTGCCCTCTGGCCATTGTTTCGACATAATTTCCATATTGTTAGATCCCATTACGAAGATTCGCCGTTCACCTGAAATACGTGCTTTTGCTTTCAAAGAGCCATGACAAAAGAAATGGCAGGCAGTGAGGAGAGGCCCTATATCCCTATGTCGCTTCATATTATGATGTGGTTCACCAGTGGTCACCAATCCTTGCCTGCAGTTGAAACATGATATGCACTGCAGGCACCCATTTGGAAAACGCGTATACGATGGCCGATAGGCATGGGAAATTACTTCCTGGCAGCATCCACCAGTCACCGCTCAACTTGATCTGCGACAGATAAGAGTATGTTGTCGAGCCTTTTCTAGAAATGTCTTTCCTGCATGGCGTTTCATATGCAACATCCAAAACACCGGAATCCTTTTATCGTTGACCATTTACCCTACTCCTGCGCGGAGGACGATTCAGACAAGTGCCTTTTTTTTTTTTTTCGTTTCCTTAACCTTTAAGGAATTTTTTTTTCTTTATTTTTTTTTTATGATTCTCCTTGTTCAATCTTTGTTGATTTCGATAATTCCTGTATCTCTGCCATCCTTCTTTTAGGACATGAGATGACCAGACAATAGGCGACATTAGAACCATAATGACCTGTATCCCTTAGCCTACAACACTCGAGATTCCCTTTTGACAAATGCCTTTGCAGTCAACAATTACCAACCTGACACCTCTCCCTTGCCGATTCACCGCTACTTTACCCATGCACCCGCGATTCCGAGTAATGTACACCGAACTTACACATCACAGAAAGAAGTGATTGGTCTTGTTCCTGGGAAATGATCTAGCTTATTTCCTACTTTAGATTGGGCGAATGCAAGGACATATTTCCTTCCTTTTCTACATGCTCAGCCTGTAGTCGCAAAGGGTTACCCTTTCTGCATCAGCTCGCGCGACATCATTTCCTCTGGATTTTGTGATCATTCTTACAAGCTCCACCGGTCTTTGATTGTTCATCATTCTTACTATCGTTGTTTTTTATCGGTTACTCTTTCAGTGCCTATGCATTTGTTGAGGTGATTCTACTACGGTTCTGAGGCTACAATAGCTCTGCTCTTCAAAATGTTTCAAGGATTAATGTCGAGGTGAAAGAGCAGCTGTTCTGGGGCTTGATATCCTACTATACAGATACATAAATAATCAATTAGAGGAACTCCTTATTGGGCTATCTTTAGCAGCTAATCTTCCAACATGTCTTCCCACTGTTAAAGTTATTGTTGACCGCACTGTCACTCTCCTGGCAGCGCTTGTATAACTTCGGCCAATCATTCAACATCCCGGGAACCCCATTGATTCTATACTTTGTCAATACTGGGGTGGATCTGATCCTGGGGCAGCAACTTACAGCATGAAGAGTTATGGTGGTATAGAAAGTCACGATATAGTGCTGAAAGAAATCCTTCACAATTTGGGCTCCTAGATGCCTGAAATACCATCTGTGAGCCATTCCGTATGCAATATGCTCGAGGAACACTGGCACATAAAAACCGAGTAAAAACGATATTCTTGATGAGTTAGCGATATCCAACAGATGCAGCCGAACCAGGTTTCTTACCTAGGGCGGAAAAGCCTGTCAATTAGTAGCCGTGGGTCGGAGAAAATATGCACCAGGAACGAGAGACGCCATAATTGGATCATCATGGCGACAACGGTCTGAGCTGTGAGTAGTGATAGCCACGGGTATCTGGTAATTTTGTCAATACTGAACTCATGATCATAAGAAACATGGGATAACTGACTCCTTCCACATGCGTTTAGAGAAGAACCGCTTCGTACTCGAAATCTTCCCATTTCTTGCCCATCGTAGGGTCTGTTTGATATGGCGACTGTCGGAGAGAGCCTCGCTGTAGATCGTAGCTCCTGTCTGGATACGGCCTTCCCAGCCGTGATTTAACAGCCAGCGGGTAGCGAATTGGTCATCGCCACAATGCATGCGATATCTCCCGAGCCAGTACTCATTGGTAAAAGCAGACAGATACTCTGGGTCTTTCAAGATAGAAGCTCTATAAGCTGCAGTCCGTCCAGTCAGTACTGTTTGACTGCCATCCAGCCAGCTCGAGGCTGCAATGTCGATATTGCGCATGCTCATACGTCGAGACTCGAGAGCTTCCCACACCGTGATCGTTTCAGGGCTTCGAGCATCCAAGCCGTGTGCTGCTATCAACGTGGTGACACCACCAACTTTGGGTTCCAATTCTAGAACGCCGAGCACTTGTTTCAAGAGATCCTTGCTCCAATAAACATCGTCGTCCGCAAGCACGAGGATCTCTCCTGTGGCTACTTGAATGCCGCGAGCGAGCTGGTTTCGTTTATTAGGTAAGGGGATGTCGAGAACTTGGATCTTTTGCGATTTCTCCTCTGATATAAACTGCTGGAGAACCGCTTTTAGTTCTTCGACCAAAGCTGCTGTTGTGACGATGATAATTTCCTTAGGGTGGTTGTCCAGCACTGCATGGAGCCGGGGTATGAGTTCTACAGGTGCACCAATGGTGGGTATTATCACGCTGATACAATCCGGTCGCATTTGAGGGTTCTCTGGTACCGGAATTGGTTTCATTCGCATGTATCCGTAGAGACGTAGGACCCGTCTGACAAGGTGCCAGCCCCTTGCCTGGTCAGCAGCAATAGCAATGGGGTAAGGTATATCCAGCGTACAGCATGAGCCAAAACCACGGAGTCAGCTCCATTGTAAGGGGAGATCGAGATGCCGTGCTTATTTATTAGTGAGTAGTTGGAGTCTTCTTCGATCTTCTCCGTGGGCTGAAAAGATCGGTCGGTCGGGCTTTAATAGCAATTCAACCATCCATCCCTTCGCTCTCGCGCTGAAACAGCTGCCGGCCTTCCTAGCAGGCGGACATAATGATGCCAGGTGGTGGCGGTGAGATATATGTCTGATTGCTGCGGTCGCTTCCCCTGCAGCGATGCCAGATTTTAGTATTGCCTTTATTAGTATTCATCATGTGTCTTATCGTTCCACCGTGGTCGTTGGTGAATTGGTTTGCAGTCTTCCTAGGCGATACCTTACCGTCCGAAAGCGACATGTATCATGTGCCTCAGATAATTTCATGCCACTGTTTTGCATTCTTCTGGATACATCAAGGATGAGCTCAGACCGCTCTTAACAATCCCCGTCCCAGAAGGCGGTACGAATGATCACGTTGAATCAACGAGAAAAAGCAAGCCCAGGACAGACGCTAGTGAAAGCAATCTCCAACCCCTTCGACAGTGCTCCTACCTGATACTTAGCAAACCTTTTTGCTCACCCACTTGCCAAACTTACTCACCCAAATCATCAACACACTCTAACACACCTATATCCAAGTCTCGTATGTAAATCATGTGGCATCAGCATGGCTTAGGGGAGAGGAAGCCTTGTTCACCGCACCCTTCAATCATATAACACTTGCTTTATCATATGCTGCAGTAGATCAAAGATATATACACACATGAGACGTATACTATACAACACTGCAAATCACAAGACAGATACATCTAATTATATGCAGCAGTCAAAGGAATTTAAGAGAGTCGTCAGTCATCAATTCGTATCGTGAGCTTTTGCTTCGGGTTTCCACCTATTTTTCTTTCTTTCCGACTCTTCAAGCACAGAGCCCTGTAGTCTAGAAGTGTTCCTTCCAGAACTTGAACCGGATATCCCTCGTTGAGGTGGACATGGCCGCCTCTCGGATTTGTCTGGCAGCGGCATTGGGTCCACAGAAGTAGACTCCAATTTCTGTAGTCGAATTCACATGTACGCCTGATAGATAAGTCTGGTCTTGTAGACCATCACGCATGGCAGTGAAGAGGCGTTTGAAGTCCGGACGGCCAAAATTTGTCCTACTTCGCAGCTCCGTAAGTGGGTCGACAGCCTGACCGACAGAATTGAGGAAGATATTAGCGGCTGTGTCATCATCCAGTCGTTGTGTGAGGTATGTGTGGATGCGTAAGAACTCGGCCTTCCCACTGTACTCTGCCTCGGCTGCCGACTGAGATTCAAGAGAGGAGAGCAAGGCTTGGAACCATTCGAAGGACGATGTGTCCCTACAGACCCAAATGAACTCGACGCGACGAAGACGGCCGGCTAGTTTAGGGTCTGATCGTAAGTGCCAAATATTCTTGAGGATCGATGCCCATGGTGTGACACCTATTCCCGTCCCGATGAGGACGGCCACCTCGTTGTCGAAAACATCGTCAGCCGGGGCTCCGTATGGTCCGTCAACGCGCAGCCTAGGCATCTTTTGTCCGTTATGCAGGGCGACTTCATACATTCCTAGCGGATCGAGTCCTTCCATATCTCTGGCCTGCGCTGGTCCGCATCCTAGTGCGTCACCCAATGCGCGAGTGAAATCACCGACTTGGCGAACGTGGATGCTGATGTACGGATCGAATGGGCATGACGTGATTGTAAAAGGATGCCATTGGTTGCTGGAAACATCGGGTGACTGGATGAAGAGCCATTGACCAGCTTTGTACTTCATACTATCCTTACGGAACTGAATCTCCATGGCATCTGCGTATCGCTGTTAGGCAAGTTTAGAAGCTTATATCTGCATATGTAGAACTTACCATACGGATGGCGAACCACCTTTAGGATAACGGTATGGCGCCTTGCTCGGATCTCGCGGTACAGCCTTTCAAGCATGTACAAGCCTCCAGCCACTAGCTCCCACCTCCAGCCTTCGTAGCCTAAGCAGTGATTCCAGAATCTAGACCCAGCAAAAGGTGAGATAGGCTCTTCTGTGTCTCGCACGAAGCATCCGGTTGCATGTGTATACAATGCTAGAAGGAACGGTACGAAAAGATGGTGCGTATACCAAAACGTCTCAAAAGATTGTTGCCGGATCCGCTGATGGGACGTGGTGTACATCAGCATCATGCAAAGGAGCATGACATGTCCTGTAATCCCACCTGCTTCTGTGTAGTGAATTTGAACTGCTTTAACGGGGCGGATATGATCTTTTTCGATATTGTAAAAGCTGCTTCTGTCAGAGCAATGACCTCGTAATAGAGATAGATTGGCTTACTTCACGTAATGAGCGGATGCATGGACTATGGTGAAAAACAGAAGGGCATAGGCGACCTGACGATGAAACCATACCGTTTCATCTAGTGGTAGCCATCGCACCTTGGGTCTTATTGTTTTAACAAGATTTCGGCACATGGGCAGCAACAGGAGGGTGGCATCGCATGTCAACACTAGCCCAGCGCCCCGTGATATCCAAACGGAATACTGGAGGGTATTGAGCATAGCCAGCCTCTGGTCCGAAGCCTGAATATACCTAAGGATTCTCAGTACATATACGGGCAGTCATTGGGAACCGTCAGACTTACCATCCCACTGCAAAAATGACAAAATGTAGCGCCCAAAAGATGGAGTAGAACCAGACCTTTGACGCAGTAATGTATGAGCCCCAAGCATGTTCCATGATGGTAATAGGGCAGTATAAGCATGTAATGACTTTTTCGCGAGGCTCTGTCATTGACCTGCAATGACCCGTTTCCAAAGGAGTGAATGGTTTGAGTCCTTTTTTTCTGGGATTCCTTTCGAAGGCGCCCGTACCATAAGTGAAAGGAGCGATTTTGGTGAACACTCTACTCTAGGTACCCATAAATAGAATGCTCCCTCGAGAGCTGGCGCTTCGCTCAAGTATCCGCTAAGTTAAGCCTGCGCAGAGCGACAGCCTGTGGCGCCAGTAGATAAGGCGCTTCGAACGCTGAAAGGAGCCGTAGGCACCCTGAAGTCCAGGGGACTCACGGAGATGACAGGCTTCCCCTTGGCTTATCGAGAATAATGGCTCATGAATAGGATTTTCAGGTGCTAGAGTCGATGGCCGGAGGTTCAGGACGCGGTAGAAGCCGATGATCACAGAAGGCTGGGACCAATCGAGGAACAAGGATCAGATCCGATTATATCATTCTTGTTTTAAACGGGCCTAGGTCCTGAAGTGTAATCTCTGAGCAGGGTGGTGTGGGGTTGATGTCAGTTGAGAATCCTGTGTCAAGCGTCTGGTACCCGAAGATACGGTTTGGTTGCAGAAAGGAGGGGAAGAATTGATGAGGGACACGAGGATCAGGATTTCTGCTTCTATATTTACCCCAACCCCTGCGCTGTGCGGACTTATGGTGCCGCTAGGATAGCCTGCAGGGAGTGGATCACCCGGTTGGATACCACTATCCCCGAACTTGCCGTTTACAGGGCTCAGGCGAGAATGAGATGGAGCAAAGACCGTCAGGCGTTGAACTATCGCCTGATGCGCCAGATTCTTGGTGAAGAGAGCTCGAGTCTGACCGTCCTCTGTTGACTGGATAGATAATCCTTCCACTCGTATCCCAAGGCCACAACCGAGCATGCTCCTCAATCACACAGCCGTTTGAGTTTTGCTTTGCGGTGCACTCGTTAAGCTGTCGCGCGCGATTGGCGCACTTAGTAGTGACATGATAGGTAAAGTTCGTCTTTTCTTGACCTACTGCCATCTCCTCATCTCCCGGTATCCGCCACTAATCTTACCATGTGGCACCGGGATTGTGAGTCGCTATCAATAACCCGTAAATCCATAATTGATTCTTCTATACTCCCCCGGCTGCTCCGTTTATTCGTGTGGTGAAGGGTGGAGTCTCGGCCAATTCCAGCCTATGAGAAGCGTTGTGCAGGCGCGCATCCCGTCACACGCGGTCAAAGCGGCCATCGACATGGGGAGCGCACCTCTGTGACATTCTAAACAGACAGGAATATGATTCAAGATGCAAATTAAGGTCCGGTTGCTACCAAATATAGCTCTCGCATTTTGAGCCAAGACTTTCATGATCTAGGTACTAGTCCAAAGCAGAATCATCTCCGGAATTCGAATGGAAGACCCTGGTATTTCCTAGTGGTAAGTGCTTGGCGTGGGTTGAGCAGGGAATCCGACGATATTGCTGGGGCATACTTTTAAGTTCTTGGCCCTGCACGGATGAGGTTCTCATCACATCTAGTGACGACTAGATTGGCACTCGGACCGTGTGGGTAGGGACGGTGCTATAATTATCTTGAGTGATGGGGAACTGCGAAAAGACGGTGAGTTGTCTAGTAGCAGCCTTGAATCCAGTAGAGGTTTCCCTGTGATCTAAAGATTCTTCTTCCATCTCGGCGTTATCTTATGTGAGACTTGCTTCTTCCCGTAGGCGTATATTTTGAGATCGTAATAGTCGCCTTGACAGCGGGTATTTCTGGCTGTGTAGCAGTAGGCGCCCGATGGAGATCACAGCAAGGACTGGGGGACAGGGAAAAGACCAACTACCTGGGCACCAGGTTCCCCGCTTCTCAAAGTCTTCACAAGATAGTCCGCCATCAGAGGAGCTTGGATGCTGGAAGCCCCAGCCGGGCGCTTCGTAGCACACGGTCCAGCCACTCAGAAGCCAAAGGTCAGCAGCCAAACGGGGTGTGATGCACTAGCGACCTGACGGGGCGTGACGGTGGAGCGGAGGATGCAGGAGATTTGCGGCAACACACTTTAGCGGCCGATGCATCTCTGTCAGTTTCCACGTTCTGCTTCTTCTGATTGATCCGACCAGCCATGGCGCTCCCAGGATCATTCGCACTGTCACGCTACACCGAGCGCCCAGATCCAATCATAAGGTATCCTCGTGAAGAAGTCAAGGGGGTGAGGATCGCTTCCAGCAGAGAATGGTAGCTGATTGGGTTAGAAAAGAGAGCGGTTGATAAAACGCGTCCACGTATCACAGGCGTTGAGAGGGGGAGGCGCGGAGGGACGGCGAGTCCGTTGCGTTCGGCCTATTGTGAAGAAGATGCAAATCAGGTGGTCTCCTCCGTTGGCGCCGGAAGCTACTAATGTATGTATTGCTGCTCTTTTCCCCCTCCATGGCCCCCATCGCTTAACTGGTCTATCAGCTGAAGTTTGCTCGGTTATGCAGTACATGATTATTTGAACAGACACTATCTCATTTTTTTCCTGCATTAAGTTTATGTGGTGATGTGATTGTTGTGATTTAAAGCTTATCCGACTCACACACACTACATACGACTACTTCTCCTCACAAGAAAACTGCCGGGGAAGAATTTACCAACCTTGACCTTGCATCGCATCTCTCCACCTGCCATGTTATTTGGAATGAGCATAGCACACACGACATTGATTGATCGGGTGGATGGTTGAGGGATCCCCTACGGTCGAAAAAGCAATCCTTGTGTTTATGAGACAACAACAGCATTGTGTCTATACTTGAGTAACGAGCTCTTTCGCCGGACGGAAGACGCTTGAACTTCCCACTATACGTCAAAACCTGCCTACCATGGGAAGACTTATCAAAAATCACTGGGCGCGACTTATTATCCTTACAGCCTCAGCTTGTATGCACCACGCCTCTTCATCTATTCATATGGCGATACTAATCTGAATGACTGAATGTACAGACCAAATTGGTGGGGCGATCGAAGGATTTATCTGGCCGAAGGTGTTCTGGGACTTTATGACGCTCAATCTGAACGGCGCTGTGAATCCGGTCCCTGTTCTTCAAATCCTAAACCTCCTCTTGGGCCTACTTGGACTTGCATGGGAATGGCCTTTGAAATATGTCGCCGGCTCCCTCGCGCACCGCAGCATCGAATTTCGGTTGATCTTCTATCCCCTCAGCGCTCTCCTCTCCATGCTCCTCTACCAGGGAACGGACCCTGCTCTATACTACCTTATTGGGATCGGGGTATATTTCTGGGCCTACAGTGAGGGCGAGGTACGTATACGCCGATCGAATTTCCCAAAACATAACTAATGGATGATAGGTTGTTTGCCCTGTACCATGGACCCTCCCGAAACGAAGCGAATACAAGGTATAGCAACAACTTGTACCAACACGAAACCTGACACTTGACGACCACGACATGATATGATTTGATGAAACGATACCCAGCGATGCTAGTATATCGGTAATATGTGCTTTATGGAGTTTGGACAGATAAAAGGTCCTCTTTCAGTCAGTGATGACTGTCCAGCTATTGACCTGGATGTGGCAGTTATATAAGGACTCTGTTGCCTGGACGCCAGAGTATATGTATCTGTGTGTACTATAGTTCTGTTTTTCTCAAAACAAAGATAATTCATTTTACAAGATCATGCCTTCCATACGATAGATATACTATCGCCCTTAACCGACCAGTTAACAGTCTACAACCTGCTAAATCCTCGTTCAGGCCCTTACACAGATATACACTCTAAATAAAGCAAGCCTAGTACTACGCCTAATCCGCCACCCACAGTACTATTTGATGCCTTATTGCCACTTTCCCAAGGCAAACTCACGTGACCTCGCGTCCAATGATACCCAAAACGGTTAAGCGTCTGGAGCGCTCCAGACCGAGGAACAAGAGATGAGGCAAATCACCAGCAACCAAGGAAAAGCTTTTTAGCAATCCCCTGAAATGATACCTATATAAACCGATCAACAGCACTAACCGGCGAATATTCTGCAGCATTACTGTCACTAACACCGGCAGAGTCTTCCACCCAGACAGCCAGCAACCAGCATGCCCCTTGTCGAAGATAGTCCTCTCGAGGACAACAACAATCAAATACCCCCTACGACTCTCGATCACGACAATGAAGCTTATAATGAAGAACACGACAACGACAACGACGTCCCCGTGAACAAAAAGACCAGCTTCAACGGCCGTCTCAACCAATACTTCCACACCGCGAAGCCTACGTCCTCAGCGCCACCGGCACTCCCATCCACAAAACAACCCACTACGAGGACTTCATCTCCTCTAAAACGCAAACGAACCACACCACCATCATCATCATCAACAACAACATCAACACGAATAACCCGCTCCCGATCCTGCTCCTCCACCTCAACCCCAACCAGCACCACCACGTCCTCCTCCCCCCGCCCACGCAAACCACCCACCACCCCATCATCAGCATCCTCCTCCCTCCTCACCGACACCATCCCCCCGAACCTAACTCTCCTCCTCGTAGGCGTGAACCCTGGAATCCTAACAGGTATAACAGGCTACGCCTACGCGCACCCCAGCAACCTGTTCTGGAAACTCCTCCACTGGTCGGGTATCACACCCATCCGACACCCGCCCTCAGATACATACAAACTCCCGGAGTTATATAACATCGGGAACACGAATATCGTGGAACGTCCGACGCGGGACGCGAGCATGCTGAGCAAGAAGGAGATGGATGCGGGGGTGCCGATTCTGGAAGCGAAGGTGCGGGAGAAGAGGCCGGAGGCGGTGTGTCTTGTAGGGAAGAGTATTTGGGAGGCGGTTTGGAGGGTTAAGGTTGGTAGGGGCATTCGGAAGGAGGAGTTTAGGTATGGGTGGCAGGATGAGGGGATGAACTTGGGGAGGGTGCGTGGTGATGAAGGGGGGTGGGAGGGGGCGAGGGTCTTTGTGGCTACGACGACTAGTGGGTTGGCGGCGGGGATGTCGGTTATGGAGAAGAGGGAGGTTTGGGATGAGTTGGGGAGGTGGGTTGTTGAGAGGAGGAAAGTTTGGGAGGGGAAGAGAGATGGGGAGAGGGAGAGGGAGAGGGGTGGTGATGGTGTGAAAGTAGAATAGAATAGATGTGTAGTCACGTTCTTGGTTAAAGTTATAGAATATAGTATAGATTTAACCATGATATATTTCATTTATTTCATTTCATTTATCAATTACCCTCTCTGTTCCCAGGTACATAGCTAGGATAGACAAGTAGGTACATTTCATCCGCTAGTAAAAAAGATAAAAAAGCATAATCATGTGCTCGATCAGTCGATCATCATGCTACTAACAATCCTTGGCTCCCCCCTCTTGCAACATCATGCCACACACCCATCAAGGGAGGGGGGAGGAAGGAAACAAGCCAGCCAGCCAGCCAGCCAGCAAGGGCGTAAGTAATAACATGGGCGCACGAATCTATCGATAAGCAGGACCATTACGGAAGTTGGTATCACCTTGTTGTTCACGAGCCTGTTACCATAAATCAATTAGCATCTTTCCTCCTCAAAGTATGGATGAGGAATATCAACATACAATAGTAGACTGATACTCTCCACGCTCCAAAATCTGAGTTATAACGTCGTCTTCATTGGCAGTTCCGAATTCATTTTCGAGACTAGCCTTGCTAGCTCCGTCGAGGACGCCTTGGGCTCCGTGCCTGGAAGTTATTGCTTGTTAGCTTTGCTCTCACTGCTGATAGCATGAAGACAAAGGGAGGAGAGGAGCTTACTTGTGAGTAACAAAGATCTTCCAGCCGTTAAGGACATCCGCCAGAGGGACGGAGCGGTCACTGCGCCATCTGTTCAGGGCGTCGTGGTCATCAACGAAGACGATGAAGTCGTCGGAGGCACCCTTGTAGAACATCTTGGAGGTGGGGTCGTTGTGGCGAGGCATATTGGTGGTGGTGTGTAGTAAATTTGCAGTGATTTAGAGCAAAGATAGAAGAACGGTCTAGTCTGTTTCTTCAATGAAGCTGCTAAGAGACGATGGGAAGATAAGAAGGAGAGGAGGTTGAGATGAAGTGAGTTGGAAGAGTGTCGTGTGAGGTGAGGGCAAATGACGTCACCACGATGCTACCGGAAACAAAGGCGGGCAAACAGTGACAGGAAGAGCAATTGAAGTGAGGAAAGTCGTGCAAAAGGTTTGTTGATGGGTAGTATAGTGTTCGTGTGATAATTGAGTTGATTGGATTTGATCTATCTCCTCTCTCTCTCTTGAATATCGCAGGCCTTAAATACATCGAGGCAGGAGTGCCGACGGGAGCATCGACGTCATCATCGACTGATGCTGCGGATGCTCTGCACTTGCTCTTGCGCTTCTGGTTCACCCGGTGGAGAAACATGGCTCCCTATGGAATTCAATTCCCTCATCGGCATCATCATCATCATCATTCCAGTCACGGACATTTTTGGCATTCTGGCATTCTGGCTCGCTAATGCTACTAATTACGTCTCGCTTCGCCCCGGTCAATCTCTCCCTCCCCCACTCTCCTCAGAATCGACACGAATCCCTAAGAACCCCATACATATTCCACACACTTTGTACTCCGTACCTGGCCATCTGATGCAATACTGCAGGAAATCTCAAACAACTTGCATCATCACCTCCATCAAACCCCACTCCCAAGCCCCATGCGACCCTGTCTTTTCGTCCGTCGGGAGGACATCGAATTAAACATCCTCCGAATAGCAGATGTTCTCAAGGAACAACCGTTGAGTGTCTCCGTTCCCTTGTTGCTAGCACTGGTCGGAATGATCTCAGCCTTGGCTTTCGCATTCGGACCTTCTTTTCCTTTCCACGTTTTGGACCGTCGAATATCCCTACTATGTCGCGCCAAGATAGGTCCCTTGTCTGTGTCCGGAGTTGCTGGCTTGCCTCTCGATACACTTCGTAAACTCTTCTCCTGACTCTTTCCAAGCTTCCTATGGACTTTCTCGTCGGCACATGTCGCTCCCGTAACAGACTTAGCAGAATAGCCTGCGGTGCTGATGCTCACACAGCTGGAGCGTCGGTACAACCCCGGCCGGCGGCTCAGATGTCTCATAAGAGACCCAGGACTATGGAAAATGTCCCCCTTGCCTAAAATCATGCCAGGGTACGGCAGAACGTCCCGCGTGTAGAAAGCAGATATAGCACGTTCTAGGAGTATTCGATCCTGTCTTCGGGCAGTCAGTACAAGGGCTGGGCACAAGGCAGACATCTTCGGCCGCTCGATTTCCCCGTCCACAGATTCCGTCATCTGGAGTCTTTGTGGGCAATGCGTCTTTTTGATGATGATGTTCTGTGAATCAGGTAGAGTCCGCGATGTAGCCAATGCCTGCATAGACGGTCGGCGAGGAAGAAGAGGGAGAGCACCGTTGCTGCAACTCAATGGAGCCAGCTCCAGAGACAGAAATGAGTATTCTTTCAGCTTCGCTACCACTGACTTCGGCATGTCAGTTAATGCGGCTGCAGACCTGAGCATCTCGGTCTCCCATTTCTTTTCCTCGCGTGCCGAGGCAGCACTGAGCACCAGTTCGTAGTTCTTGCCCTGAGACTGGAAAATCAGTTTCCAGGAGAAAAGACAGCCATAGCAACGAAGACCTATCACAGAGTTTAGCATACAAAATGACCCATATAGGCAGTTTCCTCACCTTCCCCGTTTCTGATCGAGTCAATCTTCATGTCAGGGATATACACACATGCTAGTGGCTCAAGCCTTCGGTAGTCATTGCTCGGTTTGGCTATTACGAGATGATAGGTGAACAGAATGCAAACCATGTATCCTCCCGTAATATACTCAGGGGTTTGGTATGTAATGTGAAGGACCCCACAGAGGCTTAAAGGACCCAGTTGCTTGTAGATGTTATCGATCGTGTTCTGTGGATTCCAATGACCTCAGCTTCCATGTTCCGTAGGGAGATGTGGTATACTCACAGCTGCTGACAGATCCATGAAGCTCTGTAGCAAAAACGTCTTCTTCACTAAGGCCTTGCTAACAGGGTTATCTGTAATTTGATTTATTTCGCATACCACCGCGCGGACTTGTTCGAGCACTTGCCGGATGCCATCATGGGCAGATGGGTCGTCTTGAATATGAGTCCATCGTAATAATTCCTCAAGCAGCAAGGGATACTTGCACAGACGCTGGATTGGCTGTATAACGTTAGCATCCAGAAGCAGAACCAAGAGGTGTCTATCCCGACCTTGATCAGGAGGTCATTCAGAGACATCGCTTTATTTTCCTCTTGTGTCTGTCTGTCCAATGACGCAACCGACTTCGATAGAGCCTCGATGCCCTGGTCGAATATACGCCAATCCGGTACAGACTGGCGCAGAAGACTCACATCTACTGTGAGCAAGCCATAGTTCTTACAGAACACTTTGTAAGCCGTGAAAGATGCCGACTACCGATTTTATGTCAGTAGCTGATAATATATAAGCCTATTGAGGAAGGCTCACCAGGTTGCCGACTTCTAGCGCAACTTGCAAGGCCTCTTTTGACTCCGCAGCCAACGCCCTGAGTCGCGAGTCCATAGAAGTCCTAAAGCTGCGTGATCGCAGAGACTTGGCATGGAAAGCCCTCAAACCAAAGTCAATTGCACTCAGGCGCTTGTGAACACCCTGAGGCATCAAAGTATCGAATTCAGCTACTGCCAGGTTCGATATGGGTGTCAGCTTTCGAATCTGGGAGAGGAAGTCCTCATGCGTGTCACGGATCTGCTGAACGTTGTGGTAAATCTCCGGTCTGACAGAAAATATGAACAGGGCCTACAATCAGAGGATTTGTTAGCTATCTGTAAGCAGCAACACGTGCCTATACTTCAGTTTGAAGGTAATCATACTTCAGCCAGTGCTTTCAAGCCGAAAATATAGTCACATTCGGTGGTGATCAGTTCCCGGAGAACACGTCGCCTCTTAATGGCCCTGTGCTGAGCTTCCTCATCGATTGAAGGATTCAACGCAGGTCTGATGCTGTCTAGCGATTCACGAGCATCAGATCGTATGCTTTGATTTGTTGTGCTCTGCGTAGTTCCCCTCGATCGTACCACACTTTGGCTAGTAATGCTCAGAGTGGCCGTCTTCACGGTTCCAAGATTGGACGAACGGTGGGACAAGGATTCCCATTGCTTTTCCTGAAACTCGTTTGAGGTTAACAAGTCCGGTAGGAGGTCCCGATCATCTGGCTTGACTTCTATCGGCCAACCCTCGACGTATCTTTCGGGTGGGGGACAGCCTCTTCGGGATCGGAAGCTATTCATCCAACGCTTGAAGGCAGCCACAGGATCTGCTGGCATAGGATGCGTTGCAGTTATCTCCACCACATATTCAGGCTTCTCCAGGATCAGCAAGGGAGGCTCCCCCATATCCTTGGATTCTTCCATTGTGCAGAGTGTATGTAAAGTGAACAAACTCCAAGTGAGAATGTGAGCTCGGAAGCAAGTTATGCTTCGGAATCAGAATCACAGGAGAGAATGTGTGTCATGAGTAGATGTGCGTGCTGGCAAGTGGAAGCAACGACTGGCCCAGTTCTTCACATGGGGAAAGCATGGTATACTTGCTGTCGCCGGGGGAGCTCACGTGTTGGATCAAAACGTCCAGTGCGAACAAACGCAAACCGTATGAAATCCATCACAGTAGGTTAAACAAACTTACGGTAATGTTCTGAGTAAAGTTGCCTCTATATCATGCACCGCTCGGTTGAGAATCAAATTGCAATGTGTTTGGTCCTACCACACGGTAACGGCCTTTCATTGCTCCCAATGATGAAACGACGGGCATCAGCATCATCTGTACGCCTGTAGCCAGAGTTTTAAGTAGAAAAGGTCAAGGCAGCGAAACTAGCGAGGGTGAATGGTTCACAACTCAGTAGGTGTTGTTCATGCTACTTTTGAAGCTTCTAGATCTCAGTTTAGCGGCAGCATAGTAGTAGGAGATAGCAGAATGAGTAGCATTTTCAGCCAATTAGACACTTTTTAGAAATATCTGGCATTGTTTCTGACTTCAATTTACAATAACTTTATATCAACTTCAACCTTCGAAGAGAAATGGATGATGGTGTTGCGCAGTCCTCTTCCAAGCGCGCGATGCCAAGAATGATGAAACTCCCCCAGATTTCCCACCGAAAGACCCACCGCCGTTTTCCGGGATCCGTCTGCGACAGCTCTCGCCGCCCGGTCCTTCCTTCAACTTCCATCCAACCAACGATGTTTTGAACCACCTCACACTCACTCTAGTATGGGAATACCCATGGGTTCAAACATTCATGCCCCAACAGTAGCCTCCGGCCCTACGTCCGGAGGCGCTCCTCCTCGCGACCTGTCCAAGCTCGGCATGGTCGATCTCATGCAAGAAAAGGAACGCATCGAAGAAGAACTCTCGGCTTTGAGTAGCGTCCTCGGCTCGGTGAGATTAAATTCGATCTTGGACAAGCCTTGCCACTCTGTGATATGTCGACTGATGATGCTTTCTGTTCTAGCATGGCGTTAATATGAACACGTCTCTCACTACTTTCGATGGCTTCCCACGAGACGATATCGATGTTGCCCAAAGTGAGTCACTGCTTTACGCCCCCGCAGTGCCTTTGCTAAACCCTAGTTAGTACGCACTACTCGGGCTCGGATTATTCGACTGCGGAACGATCATAAAGACGTGATGTCACATCTGGAGAAAGGAATCCACAACCACTTCGCGAACTTGCAGCGGGCGCAAACTGCCGTACAATCGGGTGGCGGTCTAAATGGTACATCGGGGTCGCAAGCTAGTGTGACTGGCAATAATACATCCGGTGCTGGGACATCTGGGTTACCGTTCGCAAAGGTCAATAGTGTGGTGCCTGGAAGTCCCGCCGACCAGGCAGGTCTGAGGGTGGGAGATACCGTTCGGGAGTTCGGAAGTGCCAACTGGCTTAACCATGAACGTCTCGCCAAGGTGGCGGAGATAGTGCAGCAGAGTGAAGGGGTAAGTTGGAGATTTTCTTCCAACCTTCTGGTTCCAGAATCCAAGGACATACACTTGCGGAATGCCCCAAACTAACATCTTCTAGCGCACCGTGGCGGTCAAAGTCGTGCGGAAAGATCCTAGTTCTTCCAGCAGCATTGACTTGTCCCTGCAGCTGGTCCCTCGCCGTGATTGGGGCGGTCGGGGCTTGTTGGGCTGTCATCTCGTGCCGTTGTAGTGGACTGGCAT